TTCAACAAATTTTGCATAAATTCCAAGTAATCACTACTCAACAAATATTCAGAAGTAAATATCATCTACCATTATGTAATACCATGGTTTACTAGAGAAACATTAGAATGCACACGTGAGGTGCAGTAGAAAATTATTGCTCAAAGAAACTTTAATATGTAAATTTAGTTAACATTTTTCCACACGACCTTATCAAGTACAGAATACTCGTCATAGGGGCCGCTCGCATGTAAATGATTGTAAACGACATCCAGCACAACACGTAAACCAATTCGGTTGAGTGCCTATCATCAAATACATCGTCTTTAGTAGACCAAAATAAGGATCGTATAAAAGGCTAAACCCATGACTAGGCATTTTTTTTTTTACTCATTTATTGTGGAAAGTACATTTAATATCACCTACTTCATAAAACATACACCTGAACCATCTTGCGAAACTCAATCACTCGGTCAGAACCATTAGGATTAGTTGCATAGCTTCCTTTTGGGACACCCCAGAGAACGGGATTATATCTTCATAGATATAATGATTGCCAACATAGTTCAGTAAAGGATGTCATGCAAAATAAAATAGTCAAGAGATAGAAAAATACACATTGCATTTATTCTCACCCCCAATTATACCCATCCGCATCCTGAACAGCTGTGATGCGAGCCTGTTGTTCATCAGAGTCGGGTGGAAATGATTTGAGCATTTTCAAATCTGGTCACCAATTTATAACGGAAAACCCAAGAAGTATGCTAAGAAACACTCAACACTAAAAGAGACGGGCGTTAAAGAAGAGAACATAAATATGATCCTTAAGCATGCTAAGCAATACATAAAGATGGTGAGATATAGATAAAGTAAGAAAGAAAGAACAGATGAACATATGATCCCAAAGGAAGAAAACAAAAGAAATTATAACGCGAACGTTTCGATTAATTTCATTTTCATCATCACTATATCAGATAGTTTAGACACTTTCCGGACTCCATTAAATATTACATATAGGCTACAAAAAAATCTACACATTAACATGACTTTCTTTTCTTGTCCTTTTTTTTCTCTCTTAAAGAAGCATTGTGTATTTTTTATCTCTTAAGATTTTAGAAGACAAAGCCTCCAGATGTGGAGCTGATGCACTTTTACATGTTTACCACACTTGTTGAAATTTTTTCAAAAAATAAGACATTTTACATAAAACCATAAACAAATGAGTCCTAAACAAAAAAAAAAAA